GGGTGTCTTATTTCTCCTTACTGACCTAAAGCCTTTTTTTTTGGCCATTGGGAGGCTGTTACAGAGGACACTCTAGCTTAAAATGTCCCTCCTGCCCACATTTAAAACAGGGGGTCATAGGCTTCGTAGTCCCCTGACTCTGGGTTGCCAGGGCCCGTGAAAAAGCCTCAGTCAGGGCAGCCATCTGGCATTGCAACGCTAAGGCCAGTGTCTGGTTCTGGTGATGCTGGGTGCCTAGATCTTGTGTGGCTACCACCCACCGGCCCATGGAAGTCTCTTTCAGCCATGCACAGGCAGCACGGTGTTCTGTATTCATTCCATCCCAGACCAGAATCTTTATAAATTGGTCCCGGAGGGGTCCAGTTGGTAGTTTGTGATTGATGCTTTCTTGGACCCGGTCTATAAATTCTGGTAGGGTCTCATTGGGCTTCTGCCTGACTCCAGCTATGGGGGATTCTGTAGGTCCCTCATCTAGCTTACCCCAGGCTGCTAGTCCTGCCTGTCGCACCTGGTCTCGGTATGGCGCTGGGAACATGGCCTGCTGGACCCCAGTAGAGTACCCGTCAGCAGTTCCTGCCAACATGCCGTAAGTAATCGGGATCGCGGGCTGAGCAGCTCGATTGGCCTCTGCTCGGACTCTACATTCCTCCTTATAGTGGCCACACCATTTTATATATTGGGTGCGTGAGAAGACAGCCTTAGACAGGTCCAGCCAATCCTTGGGGACACAAGGATTATACGCAATATCTTGCAGTAGGGGCTGGGACCAAGGGGCATTCGGCCCATCCTCTGGCACTGCCTTGCAGAGTTCCTTAAGGTCTTTAGCCTCCCATGGGTACCATTCTTGTGGCCTATTAGGGCCAGGGGCTAGATTAATGTGAAATGCCTGGAGGGTCTGTTCTTGGGGACCTGTGCAACCGGCTCCCCGATCCCTGGCTGATGGCCAGTCATAGGTACCCCAGTCACATAGGTCCCTTCTAAGGGTAGTATATGGCAAGGAGCATTCCCCTGTTTCAAGGATATAAGGCAAGGGGGCCTGCTCCTTCGGGGCATATGGATCATAAGGCGCAGAGGGGGTGACTTTAAACTTGATCTCTTCACCCTCCTGGTCCTCTTTGCATTCCCTGGCTTCCCCTGCCTCTTGGGGAATTTTGGAAAAATAGCACTACCCATACTGAGGGTTTCACTTACCCTGGAAGACCGCTTGGCCTTGGCCGAAGTACTTCAAGCCCCACATTGGGCACCAGCTGTGGGGACCTGCCCTACCATGTTGCTGGAGGGCTTCTCTCCAGGTTCCCCAAGCCCCGCAGTCCCACAATCTACTTATAAAATAATCACTCAGACGCTTATATCACTTATAAACTGTATGGCCGTGGCAGGCTTCTTGCTAACTGTTCTTTTATCTTAAATTAACCC